ACTATAGATCCTTTACTTGCATGTCCAAAGTTTACATTCTCAGTTTATATACTTACAGAGAGATGAAGTGCGGAGCTACACTGCAATGAGTCTCATGGTCATACAATGTTAGTTGTATCCTTGGGGAGAGCAGAGCCACTGGTCCTAGATAAAACAGGCATTTCACTGCCAAAGCAAGGCATGCAGCAGCAGTCCACGACGGTGACATCGCCTCCTGCTGGTAGTGCGCGCAGAAAACTCTAGAGCGGACCACGACGACCTCGGGCTAGAAGGAGAACGGACGGTGCACGAGACACTCCCCGGGCTGAAGAGCACCTCAGCCGAAGTTAGTGTCGGTGTTGTGCTCCCTTTGTGTGGGGAAAGTAGACCTCCAATATTTCACTACATTTTTCTGTTTGGTGAATGGAAGTAAAACTTGACTATAACGCAAATTCTAGTCCAAAGTCTCTTAAATCTCAATCACACACACTAAAAAAAATAACATATAATATCTGGTGTGTTAACCACTTATAACTAGATAGCTAAAGAAGAGGTTATCCTATTCTGACACTAGTAAGTAGAATACCCAAATCGGTGGGTAAACCAGAGTATCTGGAGGTAGAAAAAATAGGATGATTTAACAAGAGAGGGTGTTTTGAGACAGGAAGAAGGGGACGTCCGAGCCCGTAGGAGGGAGAAGTAGAAGGTGCGTTGAAGGACTTACTCCTAGTGCCGCGCCGAGACGCCTGGACGTCGCATAGTGCGGCAGCACGGTTGCCTGTTTCAAAGGTCGACGGGTAGAACGGACCATGTCACTCGACGTCCTCCTAGTCTTACTGCAATGTGACGTGAATATGTGGAATCCTCGAAACGTACGTAAATCAAGGGACAAAGACATTTAATTTCAATGAAAGGGTGGTAAGAAAATATCCTATCAGTGAAGTACCCGGGCCCGAGGTCCCGTAGTTGTCTGAGTAAGTAAAAGCAGATCGTCTCCGCGGTTGTCGTTCACTGTGTGTAAGTCTCTGTGTTGTGTTGGTGTGTGTGTGTTAAACTTAGTACGGACGTACTTTGACAGACCAGCAGCCGATCTATAGTAAACATCACCTATAGCAATCAATATATGTACTTAAAAAGTAGATATATATTACACACATGAAGGAGCTTTATGTCGAGCAAGTATCTATTACATATCTATGGACCCTGAGTACAATTAAACTTTAATCTCACTATCTCATTGCGAGACTGTTAGTACTACATGCACACACATCGGATGTCGTAGATCAAGTCAATTGCGACAAGTCCAACCTGTTAGTTACAGTCCTGTGCTCTGTTGAACACATAATCGGTTAAAAACACTTTTAATCTACAAAGATGGTCCAAAAATGAAATAACGTCGAAAGCTCGGTATCTATGTATTTTTAAGAACATAATGATGTTAGTGTGTTAATATCTCTCAGTCTGTACAAAGTACTTCGTACTAGTTTAACACACACACACAACACAACACAAGAGACTTACACACTAAGTGGAACGCGACAACCGCGGGATGACGATCTGACTACAAATACCTGAACTTTCTACTTCTTACATTTTGAACACAAATACCTGTACTTTCTACTTCTTACATTTTGAACACAAATACCTGTACTTTCTACTTCTCACATTTTCCAAACAGGCTGGTTCCTTTAGTCTGAATGTGTGTTTGGTGGTGTGATCATTATTATTTAGAGTCATTGCGTGCCTATTGATTTGAACACGATCCGTGTATCCATCATTTCCTGGTCTTCTCTAAAGAAGAGGGACCAATGAAAACGTTGTCATGTTGCCGTTGTTCAGCATGGAAACATTCATTAGCTAACAATGACATTATTGTTCTATTAATATAAAGGGAGGTCAGGTACTCTTTAAAACAGCTGCTAGTTATGGGTACTTTTTACTGAAGTACATTTCAAAGCCTCTTTACTTTTACTTGAGTAAAGAAGTTTAGTCAGTACTTCTACTTTCACCAGAGTATTTTTAAACATGAGTATCTGTACTTGAGTAAAGGATGTGTGTACTTTTGCCAGTGTGTGTGTGTGTGTGTGTGTGTGTGTGTGTGTATGTGTGTATGTGTGTATGTGTGGTAGAGGTCTTACTTCTTGCTGGCCTGGCTGTTGATCTCGTCCTGCAGCTCGTCTCTCTCCTGCTGCGCCTGCCTCTTAACTCTCTCTGCAGCCGCCAGCTCCTGAAGGGGAGGAAGGAGACGAGAAACAACGTTCAGTTTGCATCAAAGAAGACAGGGAGGGGGAGGGGGAGGAGGATGGGTGAGGCGTAGGCACTGACCTCCTGCATCTGCAGCATCTCGGCCTCCATGCCCTTCAGCTTCTTCTCCGTCTCTTTGCTCAGAGCCAGGATCTCCTCTCGGGACATGCGAGTGTCCTCCAGCTCCCGGATCAGATCCTTCATCTGGGCCTGAGGACACAAGGAGTTACACAGAGTCGTCGTTACGTTAGTCCTTTGAAATATTTTTTTATTTTATTAAATACGTTGTTGGAGGCGTTCGGGTCAGAAGACTTCCATTGCCTTCTCTACCCCGTAGCTTTGTGCAGATGACATTGAAACCTTTGAATCTAAATACTATGAATATGTTTCTAAGACTAACTGAAGTACCATTTCACTGTAGTCTAAATAACGTATGTACCATTTAAAATGATTACAGTAACACATATCCGTTACACGTTTTGAGTGTCATTGAAGCCATCACACTGCTGAGATTCATAGTTCCTATTTAACTGAGACTAGCGGCTCACCTGCAGTTTCTTCAGCTGCTTCAGGGCTTCGTCTCGGTTCTTGTTGGCCATGTCGATGCCGGCCTCCAGCTCCTTCAGGTCCAGCTCCAGCTTCTTCCTGGAGGCCACGGCTGCAGAACGCTGCTTCCTCTCGTCCTCCAGCTCCATCTCCATCTCACGCACCTGAAGGAGGGACGGAGGTCAGCCATTCGCAACGAACAAGAAACTGTGACGTGCACTTTGAAGATTTAGATTAAATGGAGTTTATTGTCAATCTTTCAGGTTGTGTGTACAGACGGAGAGATCGAAATACCGTTTCCCACAATCCTGAATATAAAAATATGTATATACCTATATACCTAGTTTTAATTATAAGTATATTCGTTCCTCTCTCCTTGTCGTTATGTGCAAGTGTTACTTATGTTTGTTGTAAAGAGAGAGAAAAAAGGCACTGGTGGCCAGAAAAATACTAAACTTTATAAATAACAAAAAAATAAAAAGATAAATAAAAAAAAGTCTATAAAATTAAAAACCCAATAAAAACATTAAAAAATAAAATACTAAATATATATATTTTTAAGTCTACAATAAATATATATTAAAAAATGTACACATACACACGTATTAAAAAATAAGTCTATAAAATACTAAATAATTTTATTTTTATTTTGTTAAGTCTACAGTAAATATATATATAAAAAGATATATATATATATTTTTATACACAAACATTTATTAAATAATAAGTCTATAAAATAAAAATTCAATAAAAACATTTAAAAAAAACAATTAAAGTCTATAAAAAACCAAATAAATAATATCTTTCACATGTTTTTATTCTATAACCGACCTGTTTGACGAGCGCTCTCTTCTTCTCCTCGCCCATCTCGTCCTTCCCGGACAGGTCCCTCTCGTACTGAGCCTTCATGGCCTGCATGTTGACTTCCAGGCGCAGCTTGGCGTCCTCCGTGCCCTGCAGCTCGTCCTCCAGCTCCTCCAGCTGCGTCCTCATCTCCTCCAGCTGCTGGTCCATCGCACGCTTCGCCTTCTCCAGCTCGTGCACCTGAAGAGGAGGAGGAAGAGGAAACAGGTTGATTACCAGGTAGGTTAACACATACGAGGAATTGACTTGGTGTCGTGTTGCGGTCATACAAGTAAAACAAAGATTAAAAACACAGATGGAAAACTATTTGAAGAAAACGATCCAAGTCAACTTTAATGTCAATCTTTCAATGTGTGTACAGACGGAGAGATCGAAAGACCTTTTCCCACAAACCAGAATATAGAAACAAATATATATCAAAATAACAGCTATACAGGGTTCATACACCTTTCACCAATGATTCTCCATGACCATTACCTCATTTTCCATGACCAAAGAAATGACTCTGCGGTACCACTGAAAATGGTTTATTTTAACATGGAACAGGAAAATATGGTCTGCCTATGAAACATGTTGAGCCTATCTAAAACAAATCCAATAGTAGACTAACTAGCTTCTACAGGCTAAAGCAACTCAAATCTCTCACCAGCTAAAACACCTCATCAGTTAAAAGCCATTTTACGTTTCATTACTACGATACAGTATTTATTTATTATCCTTATAGTATTACTATTTCAGCGATTAGATAACATATAAATTATATTTGATGCACTTTTCACTTCCATGACTTTTCCAAAACTTTGGGGAAAATATAGTTTTCCATAACTTTCCCAGGGCCTGGAATGAGCATTTTGAATTTCCATGACTTTCCAGGTTTTTAATGACCGTAAGAACCCTGGCTATAATAACATTAAAAAAAGATAGTCAAAAATAGCAGTTTGTGATGAAGTTTGAACGGAGCACACAACAGGAATAAAGATTTTCCTTTTTCCATAAATCCGTTTTGAAGACTTCACTTGAATCCATTAAGTTTGGCACCTTATTCCAACTGTATATAGACTCTACTTGCACTTTTTCTATTCTGTCTTATTGTGTTGCTCTGTGGGAGGAGCCTGTGAGCTCAGATGTTCATATCTACACTGTAGCTCTGCACACATGACCATAAAGGCCTTGAATCTCGACACTCACGCTCTTTCCGACGTCGTCCTTGGAGGAGACGAGGTCCTCCATCTCGGCGCGCAGCAGCTTGTTGTTGCGGTCCGTTTCCTCCTTGACGTCCATCAGAGTGTCCAGCTCTCGGGTCAGAGCCAGAGCTCGGGTCTCCTTCTCTCGGGCCTCGGCTTCAGCTTTGTCTCGCTCCTCTGCGTAACGAGCAGAGATGTTCTTCTCCTCTGCCAGCATCTACAGGAAGTCAAGAGGACAGAGTCAGAGCTCATTCGAAAATGTCTAACATGCCTTTTGGACTTTGTAAAAATCAAATCTGGCCTGTGAGGTTTTACGAACGTAGGCTTTTACTGTGTAGTCCTGATCACTCCATGCTCGTACTTTTTACCGTTTTCATTTAAGGCAGTTCGGAAAGACAAACTTAAGATGTACCCTAATATATCTTGAAAAAATACCGTGTAATTGTTTGCTGCCAAATGTCAATACAAAATATATTACAAAACAACATGCCTTTTTGTATGCCTTTAACACAGCATACAGGAAGTAAAGAGGACGGAGGCGGAGCTTATTCTAAAATGTCTAACATGCCCTTAACTCGAGAGCAGTTTTGCTTTTTACATGAAATGGTCGGCCTAACCCTAAATCTAACCAGAAAGGCAAATCTTTAATCAAAAATATGAACTTTATTTCATGCCTTTTGAAATCCCAAAATCCAAAAGCAGTGTTTTGTTTGTTTTTTAAACATGAAATTATCAAAATCGGAAAGGTGAATCGTCAATTTTGTATCAAAATATGAGCTTAATTTTTCAAATGTTCATGGTTGTGTATTTAAATGTTCATTCACAAGATCCTTTTTTATCCAGAGTTTAAATTGGTTATCATATTACACAGAATATCCCCTTCTGTGGGACTACCAGAGATGGCCAAAGTACACACATCCTGTACTCAAGTAGAAGTACAGATACTCGTTTAAAAATACTCTGGTGAAAGTAGAAGTACTGACTAAACTTCTTTACTCAAGTCAAAGTAAAGAGGGCTTTGAAATGTACTTCAGTAAAAAGTACCCATAACTAGCAGCTGTTTTAAAGAGTACCTGACCTCCCTTTATATTAATAGAACAATAATGTCATTGTTAGCTAATGAATGTTTCCATGCTGAACAACGGCAACATGACGTTTCCATTGGTCCCTCTTCTTTAGAGAAGACCAGGAAATGATGGATACACGGATCGTGTTCAAATCAATAGGCACGCAATGACTCTAAATAATAATGATCACGCCACCAAACACACATTCAAACTAAAGGAACCAGCCTGTTTGGAAAATGTGAGAAGTAGAAAGTACAGGTATTTGTGTTCAACATGTAAGAAGTAGAAACTAAAGGAACCAGCCTGTTTGGAAAATGTGAGAAGTAGAAAGTACAGGTATTTGTGTTCAACATGTAGGAAGTCAAAGTAAAAAGTAAATAAGTAGTGGAGTAAAGTACTGATACCAGAAACATGTACTTAAGTACAGTAACAAAGTATTTGTACTCCACTACTTCCCACCTCTGGACTAATAAAGGTATTCTGATTTGTTTACTATAAGTGTATCAAATGTTCCGTCTTCGTACCTGGTCAAACTTCTTCTGCTTCTTCTCCAGGTTGGAGACGATCTGCCGCAGGTGGTCCTGGTCCACCAGCAGGTCGTCGAGCTCCTGCTGAACGCGAGTCTTGGTTTTGTCGAGCTTCTCGAAGGCAGCGCACTTCTCCTCCATGCGCTGGTTGGAAGCCTCCAGGTCTCTCTGGTATCTCTTCTTCGCCTCCTCCGCCGTCTCCAGAGACCCAGCGTCCGTCTCCACCCTCTTCTTCATCTCCAGGAGCTGCAAGGAGAGAGGAGGAGGAATCAAGGAGAGTTATTCGATGAATGAGTCCCTAGCAGAAAGTGTGAGTGTCTTCATGTGTCGTCTCTTCTCACCTGAGCCTGGACGGTCATCAGCTGCTTCTCCACGTTCTTCTTGGCCTCCTCCTCCTCCTCCAGCTGCTCCTTCAGGTTGTTCTGCTCGTCCTCCAGCTGACGCAGCCGGGTGCTGTGAGACAGTTTCTGACGCGTCTCCTCCGTGAGAAGCTCCTGTTGGAAACAAGGGCATGGGAAGATGAATGATATGCAGCAGCAGCAGAGATTTTCATATCTAAAAATAAATGAATCCCCGGACACGTCTTAGGCCCCAGCCACACGAGGACGATAACGCAAACGGACCGCAATCGTTATCAAAAAAGTTTTCCGTCCACACGCAACAGAAACGTGTCCGTTCAGGTTCAAAATTATTGTTTCATTTTGTAGTCATATTAGAATCTAAAGTTTTTACAGAAGGGATTTTGGATATCTCTTTTTATCACTCCATAAATCAGAAAATACTGTCACCAGCCCTAAAATATCAATTTTCACCATGTTTTTAGGTATACAATGTTATATCATTCAGGCTATGAATGATATGAACAAACCCTTCAGTAAAAACCTTCAGAATATTGAGAGGAATATAACTGGAAGGTTTGGTGTATCTACGTGCTACTGAAGTGGACATTTCTCACTCATTTTGAGAAAAAGACCTTTAAAGATTGCTGTGAGGCGCTAGCTAAACCCTCCTGTTCTTTGAATGACAGCTTGCGCCTCGACGCACTCTCTGAAGGTATTTCGTGTCATTTGTTTTTTCTTAACCTTGTTTCGTGCAAGTGGCAATTGTTGTCGTCTTCTCTGTGAAAGTTTTTTTCGCCGTTCTTTTGCCATTTTGAGATTTAAATTTCTAGCGGAAAGCTAACCAGGAAGTGTTTTAGCACACCACGTGACGCATCTGAACGAATCACGTTGTCAGAAATTGACACCAGCCAATGAGATTTTGTTTCTTGGTTTAGGACCCCTTTTGTGCTTTCACGATTGGTTGCTGATACAAAGGAAATGATCATATTTGGATCCGATGAGATTGTGCAGGAGAGACAGAGCTTTCGAACAATATCTCTGATGACATGGTGCACACAGCGGTCACGGTACTTTACGTTACGTTACGTTAGAATGCCAACTTTTGGTGAATTTAGGAGAAATCTACTGACGCAAATAGACAAACTATAATACAAATAATCCCCTAAATTTGTATTTTGTACATTTTCCTTCCAAACGCCTGAAAGAAAACATGTTATTGAATCAAAATGGCACAAAATCTCAAAATTGACCAGTGCATGAAAAACGATGTCTTTGGCTGCCNTAAATGTTTTTTTGTATAATTATGATATATATATACAACAGAATCTGAAAGAAAACCTATAAATTACAGTATTTTGTGTTTAGTGTCAAAACTTTCAAGTGCAAACTTGAAAGTTTTGACACTAAACACAAAATACTGTAATTTATAGGTTTTCTTTCAGATTCTGTTGTATATATATATCATAATTATACAAAAAAACATTTAAAGAAAGTTTCTCTTCAATACTCTCTATCAGCGTTTATCCCTTTAGTGCCTCACTTTCATATACCTCCCCTATCTTTTCTGCTCTAGGGGGGAGATCTGAGAAGCGGTCGAGGTCGGAGCAGACGGCGAGGGGTCAGGGAGTATAAAAACGGAGTGGTCGGGGCCTGGGTCGGCTTCAGGGACAAACTGAAGAGGATCGTGGAAAGTAAATACTTCAACCGGGGGATCATGATCGCCATCCTCGTCAATACCCTCAGCATGGGGATAGAGTACCATAAGCAGGTAAGACACAACTGAAATGTGGGAGAGAGACAAATGTGAACCGTTGAGATCATTGTTTCCAATCGTCTGACCTTTGTAGAGAAACAAGTAGTTGGATGAGAACTGTCGGACGCGGCATTTGTTTGTGAAACTGGCATTTGGCTGCCTGAGAGTATAATGAGAGGAAATTAGGCAAAAGTCAGGGGAGGTGGCCAGGGGTGAGGGAACAAAGGAAGAGAGTGGAGAAGTAAAGTATACCAACTGTCTCCTTCTGACGTCCACACAGCAGCGTCAAAAAATCTTCCAACGCTTCTGCCCATTCACTTTGAATGGTGTGGTCACGTTGCCTCGCTTTTCGCCGAACTGCATTGTGGGGAAGCAAAGCGAAGGTTTCCAGGATTTCCAGGATTTTCAGGATTCAAAAGTTGTGCAATGTTCAACTTTTGAGGTGGAAGCGTCAGCCAATCAAATCCCGTTTATGCAAATCTGACAGTACAAGCGCTAGCCAATCAAACCGCGTGTAAGCTGGGAGAGCCAGACCGCAGTTCATTTCCTCATATTCCAAACGGTAGCAAAGCACCCGGTTCTTTACGACCAGTAACTATTTACCGGGATACCAGGCATGGAGGGAGGTGGCAGAGACAGTGGGTGAAACTGGTAGGTTTTCGCTTGTTTGGGGAGTTTATATATATATATATATATTGCTCGCATAAAATCCCCTGGGTTTTTTGCTTTGTATGTCGGGGGCGGGATATTCATGTGATTGGTTGTTGGTCNCTCATATTCCAAACGGTAGCAAAGCACCCGGTTCTTTACGACCAGTAACTATTTACCGGGATACCAGGCATGGAGGGAGGTGGCAGAGACAGTGTTTGGGGAGTTTATATATATATATATTGCTCGCATAAAATCCCCTGGGTTTTTTGCTTTGTATGTCGGGGGCGGGATATTCATGTGATTGGTTGTTGGTCGCGTTGCTCGCAAAAAATCCCCAAGCTTTCAGACACGCCCACCTCCAAGATTTTCAAGATTCTTTTAACGCTGCTGTGTGGACGGGCCGTCACACACGAATACACACTCCGTCACACTCAAGGATTATGTTTCTAGTTTACCGTGTGCGGCCAGCATCTGGAAAATAACAGCTTAATAATACAACTCCTGCTTCCCTCGACCCACTTTCGCACACTCTGACACATTTGTAGAGTTGTGCCGACACATTCATCTGCAGAGTTTTCACACCCAAATATCATTTAAATGCACACACACGCACACACAACCTTTTAGTTTTCAAGCAGCACAGCAAATGGGTAGAATCCATAAGACAAGATTCTTCTGCACACACACTCCTTTCTCTTCTCTGTGTCCTCTTGCTCCCATCTCCTCTAATTCCCTCTCCAGGGGATGTGTGTGTATGTGTGTGTGCTTCTATCTTTGTGATATAAACACAAGAAGCGACTGGGAGAGCCATGGCCTTATTGGGCCAATAACACACACACACACTCACACACACACACTCACAGGGACTGAAGAGTTATGTAAGAGTTCCTCCTCCCCTTAGTACCCTTCATCCCTCTCATGTGACACCCAGCCAAACTTTACGAGACTACGAGTGTATAAGTGTGTGTGAGGTGGTGTAGGAGGTTGAGTGTAGATCGTGTGAGTGTAAAAATCGATTTCAAATGCACCGTCTGGAAGCTCGAATCTGAGGATACTATAAAAGTATGACTTGAAGTTTTAATACGCAACCACATGCTGTTCATGAATGACACAAATCCAACTTGATCACTCACAAATAACAGCATCGACGATAAATCCCAAAGTTAATTTTTTTAGGACTATATTACTCTTCGTTGCCTGCAAGATGAACACAACCTCTTTCCTGGTAGTTTGTGTACACCACAAAAATCACAAATAAATGCCCAATAAATATATGCTTTAAGATTATTGTGTGTAATTCACATTTAAATAATCCTAAAGGTAACCTGTCTACCCTCATAAACTAGCAAATGTTCATGTTTACATTTGTATTGTGTGCCTCTATTTTGACACGTTCATATGTTTGAAATGTTCAAAAAGCTCTTTATTTTTCTCATACTGCCTGTATTCTTTTCACCCTCTGTCTGAAACCAGAGCCCAGTCTGCTCTGATTGGTTAGCTGGCTGGCTCTGTTGTGATTGGTCAACTGCTTAAAGATGTCCCGCCCCTTAGCCTATCACGTATAATGTGTTGGAGCGCTAGAAAATAGAATTGAAGTGTTACATAATGATGTCAGTGAAGTAAACAAAGAAGTCAAGTGGAGGCATTTACAGGAAAGGGAAAATCCCCAAAAGCATTAGAAGACCACTTTAACCCTCACAAAACGTTTTAAATGAGCTTTTTGTTGTTTAAAAAAGAAAACAAACACCATATCTCAATCTGTATTTGATTAACACACTCATGTTGTTGAAGGCTTAGGTGTTAAACCCTTAATTCTACATATCTGCATTTATGAATGCATGGGTGTGGGGGAGGTGCATATCTCAGTTGTGCTTTTGTTCCTCATATTCTTAAGGGCAAGGTCATTCGTAGATTGGCATTCAAACACATTGGAAACGTCTTCCTGCGGGCACTCACAGTAGTTCATTCTGATTGAGCACTCAGTCTGTCAAACGTAATGACGGGGGTGGAAAGCAGCGTCTAAAGCAATAGTTCCGAACACTCATTCGGGGTGCTTGATGACATAAAACATATTGACATAAGGAGAGGCCGTCCTAATTACTTTTAAAGCCACTCAGTTGCTAATGATCACGGCAATCTATTGCTACTATAAAACAAAGTGCACCGTTGTATTAGGCTGACATCTCAAAGGCAGGTTGATGGGATGTATTAACAGAGGGGAGAGATCTTTTCCTTTTCCCCCCCTCCCACATTTGCCTCCCTCGCCGCTGGACCTGAATACAATCGGCTTTTCTAACCTTTAAACTCAACCAGCTACTGAACGTTTTCACACGTTTGTCAACCCACTAGAACAGGAAGCAGAATTCAGTGTGCTGAGTAAATCCTAAAAGCAGAGAAGACATTAGGATTATTGGGTCGTGCATGCTTATTGAGATTTTTAAACCTCCAACCCTTTGGCTATTGCTGTATTATATGTTGTAGTGTTTGAATTCTCCTGTTGGCCATTCTGCACCCTCCCCTCCCAACACACTGTAAAGATAAGTATAGCGGCAATAAAAACTGCTGTGTAGCGTATGGAAATGATTGCCCTGCAAGTCAGCAATAAGCTCTTTAATTTCTCCGGTGTGTCGACCACAGAGGTAATGAAAAAGCCTGTAGTCCACTGTTAAATAATAATGTATGTGACTCTAGTATTGTGACGGTTTTAGATAGCGGACAGAGAGCTCTTTTAAAGCTTTGGTGAGGAGCTTTAAAGTTTTTTATGTGCCGCTGGCTGGTCAGTAAAAGACAATTTGAACAAACAGCCAGGCGGCAAGTCTTTCAATTGTCTGCCCAGCTCTTTCAAAAATAAAATAAAAACATACCATTGTTCTACTTCACCATACGGAACTCCAAAAGTTGCAATAGGGTCCCCTGGTGTTACTGCTTTGGTTTTCAAAGCATCACGACTGTCCCAATTAACTCAAAAGCTCATCAGCCCAAAAATAGTAATGCAAAAAAAAAAAGGGAAGCTGCATGCGTTAGATTACACAACCCCGCACTGCACATACAGCAGTTCATATTGACACTGAGGTCACAGTTATACAAGCTATAGCAGTAAATGTTTCAAGCGCCGTCAAACTACTGCTGTAATGGAAGTAATAGCTCAGCATGGTGGCTCGACCCAGACACACACACTTACCCTTTACTGCACTTTATAAGAGACAGCTAAGCAATGGATCAGACAGGCTCGGTTTCAGCATGTCCAATAGGCTGTTGGGGAGAAAGTGTGTGTCTGTGTGCGGGTGTATCACAGCATAGAATTGGGTCACGTATCAATACACTGAATCATACAGTGATGGATTTGGCTTACAAGAAATATCCATGAAATTGATAAAGATACAGAGAGTTGTAGTTTATCTGTTTGTCATGCAGTGACATCTCAACATCTACCTTTATTAGCTGTATTCAAATACAATAAGTATTGAAATAATGAATGAAATACACTATAAAATGAACATCCCTCATTACAATTGAAAGTTATTCATGCCGAGACTTAAGTAAGTAAAGAAAAGAAACTTCCTTATAGCATTACAATCAAGTTCATTATCATGCAGAATGTGTCATCCACAAAGGCTGATTGTGGTGGAGTAAAGAAAGTACATTATTTTCCGGTTAAATGCCTTAAAGTGGAAGTACTGCAGTGTGGTTGGAGCAAATGTGAAGAATGCCAAACATACGGTTTATAAAATAAACTTAGTTTAAACAGCTTGTCTTTCAAAAGGAAACAAGTCTGGGTCTGGAAATGTGGCTGTAAAAAATACATCTTCACAGGAGAGATGTGTGTGTCTGTTGGAGTGTGTAGGGTTTGAGAGAGGGGGGGAGGTGTGCAGTGTAGTCTGGCGCCCTCTATCTGTGATAATTGGATGTAAACATTGATTTTACAGTAAGTAGAATGTACTGCAAGTATGCCTGAATGAATCATCTTTAATATAATAGGAAATTATCAATATGGATGATGACGATGATGAATTGACTAGTGTCTTTGTGAAAGGGAAACCCCTCATTTACCTCCAGCTTCATTCAGCTTCAACATATGTATGTGTATAACACGTTTTAAGAATGACAAACAACGAAGAAAATAGGCCAACTCTTGATGTTTCCGCCGGTTACTGATAGTGCACTATAACACAAACTGAAGGTTAACCCTTATCTGCTGCTGTAGCAGGACATCTGGGATTTTATATATTAAAGGTCCCATGTCATGGCCATTTCTACTGATCATATTTCCATTGTTGAGGTCTACTAGAATAGATTTATATTGTGTAATTTCCAAAATCACATTGGTTTCTCATACAGCATCTCTGTATAG